AGGTGGCGTCCATCAAAACACAAGATGAGAGAGGGCTCCCAAACTGTATGAGGGAAATAGGGAAGGCAAGGGCTTCGTGAACTGGGATCTTAGGAAGCAGAGGGTTGGAAGGGATGGGGCTGCCAAATCAGTCAGATGCACAGTCACAGCTATAGTCAAGCACAGCCAGATGCGGTCACAATCTCCCCAACACTCAGTCTGAGTAGGTGGCTGTGACTCCTTCCCACAGACAAAAGTCTGGGGGGCCCTGGGGGACCTAGGGCATCAGAGACCACACACACTCAGCCTGAAAAGGCCCCCTAGTCAGGCCCCCCAAGTCCCCCTCCCAACTGTGGGCTTTGAGGGGAGGGGCAGCTTTCTCCCCACAAGAACCAGGGGTAGTGCCTACGGCAGCCATCACCATGACAACCAACAACAAACACCCAGGGAACCACAGTGGGACAGGAAGTGACAGCCACGTGACAGGAAGACATTTTTTTTCTCACTGTTGGGGGGGTGACAAAGATTGTTCACAGCCCCTGGGGAATCAGCTGTCCCTCAAGTTTCCTCCACCTGGAGCTGGAGGGAAAGGGAGCACCGCTGGGAGGGTTGCCATCCTCCATCACCATATGCACGGCCAGTCAGTGCAGGGTTGACAGGGCCCTCCCTCCTTGCCTGCCACTCACTGTTCCCCCCTCGGTCCCCCTCCTCTCCACTTCCTGCCGTGACTGGAGATCAGAGAACTCCCCACCGCAGCTTCCCCTTCTCAAGTCTCGATTCCTGGACTGAAGTTTTCGCTGTGGGGCAAGGGACTGAGGAAAGGAGGGCTGGGGACCTGCAGTAGGACCCAGGGGACAGAGACTTCAGGGGGAGGGGCTAGAAATAAGCCACTCCAAGGTAGGTGTGTACACACAGGCACATAGTGAATGGGTCACTGTGACACAACGCTGGATGGGCGCAGTGACATATGGAGACAACCTGACCTCAGGCAGCTATGGGGGGGCGTTGGGGGGGGGGAGGATCCAGCAGGCACACCCGATTCAGGTCCTTTAATGAGCCTCTGGGTTCATCTCAGGTATCTACTAGTCTCCAGGTAGGTAAGGTTCCAACTGTGCCTAGCCCCTGCTACCTCTCCTCTGCCTTTTGTGCTGAGGAATCCCCCTCCCTGCTCCAAGGTGCCTGCCCAGGCGAGGGCACCTTGGCTGGAGGTGGGGGGAATGGAACCTCCCTCCACCCCCCTCCTCTTCTCTGCAGATGTCCCAGACTATATTTAGCCCAAACTGGGCGGCCAGCCAGACCCAGACTCCCCACTGGTCCAGAGCTGAGCTCCCAGTTTTTATGCAATTAAAACATTAACAGAGAACCACCCCCAGCCATCCCCCAACACACACACACACACACACACACACACCCTAGCCTGCCAGAGCAGCAGAGCTCTGAAAACTTGAAGGAGGGCATCCCGGCTCAGCAGTCAGTGACGGGGATGGGAGTCATTGGGCATCAACCCTAAGATCATCTTGACACTTGGGGAGGTAGTGGGCAGGCTTTCCTTGTTCAGGCCAGAAAGGAAAGACTTATCCAGTTGGGGGCTGGGTGGGAAGGTTGCCTAGCTGCAGAAATTCCACCTGTCATTTTGCAGCCCCCTCCCTAGCCAGCTCCAGTTACAGGGTTGGGATTGGCAACAGGTGCTGGCCAAGCTGGCAGCAGCCTAATCCCCTTACTGGCTCCCCAGGCTGACAGTGGTGCCTGGAGGTCCAGCAGGGGCCTTGTGGGGCAGGACACTAAGTAGAAGGAGAGTCATTGCCCAGAGAGGCGGGCAGCCCATGGCCCGTCTGTAAGAGCTGGCTACTGTATGCAGGAGAGTCTGGTGAAGCCAGGGAAAACTTAGTTCCACAGCACCTATTTCATTTCCCCATGATGCCAGGCGGGCAGGCAGGCGGGCAGGCGGGCAGGCGGGCGGGCGGGCGGGCAGGCAGGCAGGCTAGAGTGTGGGAGGTCTGTCTGCCTGCCTCTTCCTCCTCCTCCTCTCCAAATTCCAGGAACAGGCAAGGGAGGCTCCAGTTGCGGGAGAAGGAGAGTAAGCAGGCAGTCCTGGTTGGGGTTGGGGGAAGGAGGGGGATGAAGACTAGAGCAGGAGGCAAGATCCAGACGAAGCAAGAGACACCCACACCCAAGCCAGACTGGGGACAGACACACCGACTCTGACACATTCTCACACTCTGGGCCAGGTCCCCACATGCCGCCCACCCTGCAGAAACACCCAAATACCCTCAGTCAGTTCTGCCAATTCCCAGAACACTCCCTGGACACACACAGAGATCCAGTCTCTACCCTCCGCCCCACATCCCCCCCACAAACCCTGTGTGCTCCAGACAGCAGCCGGAGGGTGGAGAGGAGAGCAAAGGGAGGAAGGAGCAGGCGTCAGAGAGGATGTGCAGCCAAAGCCCTGGGAGCTGAGGGTATCAGTTGCCACACTCCTTTCCCAAAACCCAGTAAGCCAAGACAACTCTGGACGTCTTGCCAGGGGCCCTGCCAACTTCCCACACTCCCAAACCATTACCACCAGACAAGGGCGTGAGGTGCTCGGCAAGTGGAGATTATCCCACTTACTCCTCGTCACAGGGAGAGGATTATCTTCCCCAAATGCCCGTCACCCTAAATCCCAAGCAGTGCTCCCAACCAGACTCCACAAGGCAGCCCTCAACATACCTACCCCTCCAGCCAAGCCTAAGTCCTGCCCTGCTCATGCCTCCCAGGGGGCAGAAATCTGGATACTGAGCCTTGTATTTGGGGGCAGGCCCTACCCTCACATCACACAATTCTGAGGACCATCCCACCTAAGACTCTAGAACCAGAGCAAAGAGTGGCCTGGGGAGATAGGTCCCAGAGAGTAGAGCCAGCTTCAGAGACCAAAAGGTTTAGGGAAGGGGAGCTAATTAACTGGGCTCTGGGTTGATATCCCCCAAACAAACCTGAAGGCCACTCAGACAATATTCTCTCCCCCATAGTAGACTGGGTGGCAGGAACCACGTCATGGCATGAGTGGGTGACTATGCCCAGCGTGGGAGGAACAGGGGCGATCAGGATGGGGCTGCCTACAGCTAGCTTCCTGCCAGAGTGACGCAGGGTTGGGAGTAGGAGGGAAACTAGAGAGGTATCCCAGAGTATCAGCAGGGGCATTTAGGGTCAGACTGAAGGGAGCAAGATATAAGGGATTTAGGAGGAGGTGGCCAGGATTAAGCTGTTCCAATCCCAGGGTCCTCTCAGAACTGCCACTTCATCTGCACTGCCTCAAGAGTCTGGTGGTGCAACCCTGCAATGACCACCTCAGGCACAAGCTCACACCCTCAAAGTCCCTGCAAATCCAAGATCCTCAGCTCCCAAAGGCCTACTCATGTCTGACCCTACTGACCTCTTTGTTTCATAGCCAGGACTCTCATGCAGTACTGATGTCCCAACTCTCCTGTGCACCATCTTTCATAGCCACAAACTCCCTGACTCCACAACCATTCCCCTTCTTCCTCCAGGAGGAAGAACCAGATCCCAAGTCCAAATACTTTCTCTTGTTCCCTCCCCCAGACTCATCTCCACCCCTCCAGGGGGGGAAGCCCCAAAGCTCTAAGCCACCCCAACTCCAACCTGGGGCTTCCCCAGTCCAGCCTCCCCATACAGTCCTGAAGGCGCTTGAGGAGTTTGGGGACCTAGGCCCTAATTTCCTAGCAAGCCCCAGGAGGGTCCTTACTGAACCACTTCCCCCCAAAGGGTATTAATACCCTTATAAAGACTGCAGCCAAGAAGATGCGCAAGAGACATCTCTCAATCTCCCCACTAATGTGGGGGGAGTCAGGAGCAGAAATGAGGGCTGGGGTAAGCAACAAAGGGTGAGCAGTCAGGAAGTGTTCTCAGGTACAATCCCCTCAGAAAACATTATTTATTTATATATATATATATATATATATATATACACACACACACACATATACATATTTATATGCTTTGTGTGTGTATACACACGTACACACAGGCAGCAGGCAGAAGATAACCTGGTAGCAGAAGAGGGAGTTGACACAAGGTGGGGTGAGGGGGGTACCCTTACATGTCAACATATTGGGCATCCTATCCAAGACAGGATGAAGAATGAAGAAACTTCTCCAAGGCTGGTGGACTTTTTAAAATCTGATTTTCATATAAGCTGGTCCCCACCCCCAGGTTAGTACAATGGGGGCCTGCCCCTCTTCCTATGGAGCAGCCTGACAACAGGACAGTACCCAGAAATGAGGAGAGGGGATATAGCCAAGCTGATTTTTCCCTCCCCCGCACCCGACACACATACACACATCTGGCTAGCAGCTTCCAAGCCTCGTGGGTGGCACCAGGTCCCAGACATCCTAGGCAGAGCAAGGTCGGCCAGTCTATTCTGTCCTCCTCCACCCTAAAAGGCTTCCAAAACCCCATTGTAACACAAGACCCAAGGACACCCCCCACACGACTACACTGGCTCCGCACCCAATTCTGACGGCTCCCCTCACTCCACGGGGGACACCAGCTGGGTGGGCCCCGCCCCCAACCAGCTCTTTCTGGTGGGGGTGGGTCCCCTTGCTGATTCTCCCCAAACCACAGGGCGGCTCAGGTAACAGGAGGAAGGAGGGAGGGGGCTAGTCCGTTGGGCATCTGATCTCTCCCCAAACAGGTTTGAAAGTCTTTTTGTTTTGCTTGGTTTTGAGGAGAAAAGAGAGATCAGGAGTTCCCAGTGGCGGTTCTGACACGGCTCGAGCGCCGGGGACACGCACGGCAGACTACCCCAGACGCCTCAAGGCTGCGCGCGAAGACTCGGCGCAGACAGACGCACAGATGGGGCTCCCCCACCCTGGACACGGAGGCGGACGGCTGGGAAGCCCAGGAACCCTCAGGTTCGGGTCGGAACTGCCTGGCACTTGGTCCCTGCCCTATCAAGAGCAGGCCACCGCGCCCCGAAGCCAGAGGGTGCCGAGGGCTGCCGTGAATCCCGGGGGAGAGGTTACCTCGCAGCAGGGGGACGCAACACGTCTGGAGAGTCAGCGGGCACGGCGTCTGCCCTAACCCGGCGCCTCGGCACTGCTTGGCGTCAGGGTTGTGGGGTCCCGGGAGAGGAGCCGTCCGGGGGGCCGCGGCTCAGGGGCGCGGGGCGACGGCAGCGGCCATGGCGAGTCACGTGCGGAGGCTGAAACTTTACCCGGAGCCCCAGACTGGGGGGGCGGAGGGTATGGAGCTGGGGTGGGGGGGAAGGCCCCCCCTCAGGAACGCCCCTGCCCGCCCACCGGCCAATCACCAGTCAGGGGCGGGTTCTCAGGCTCACGCCCGCCCCTCTCTCCTTAATAGACCTAGGGAAGGGCGAGTCTTAAAGGAGACGCTCCATGCTGAAGGTTAGACCGTGGGAATCTGAGAGAATCTCTCCCTCAACGCCAGAATGTGAGATTCAGAGCGAGAAGCGGGTGAAGTTTTGTGGAAAGAATGAAAATAGGGCTCAGTAGAGAAAGGATCGCAGTGTGTGGTATCCTATACTCCCTTTTCCAACCACATACGCCCACACTCATAGGGACGTGCTTCTCTCTCTCTCTCTCTCTCTCTCTCTCTCTCTCTCTCTCTCTCTCT